GACTTTAACTTGATTATACAAGTTATTTGTCTTAAAAATTTAATTTTGTAGGATTTTGTATTTTTACAAAAACACTTTGATGTAATGTACAATGCCAAAACCAGTTACCTTTTACTAGGCAACGGAGGTTTTTTGATATTTTGTACCTAGCATACCCCCCCCCCAACCATCAGCAAGCTCGTCACGCTGATCTGTTGGCAAGGGCATGCCAAAACTTTTGATTCAAAGTGTTAATGTATTATTGTATCACATTATTTATATTGAATTGTTTTCTTAAGGTATTATATTATAATGTTTTGTATTGAATTTTTAAATTACTTTAGAATATGCCAATATATTGTTCATTACCTACGATGAGAAGAATGAATGCACGTAATACATTATGAATAAATTGTATCTTTTCTAAGTTTTATATGAAAAGAAAATTTTAAATATCTTCTATTCAAAAATTATTATTAAATTATATTTATCGGAAAAAGTGCATATTATTTGTGAACTTAGTCCACAAGATGAAAAGAAGCTGGACGTACTCGCATCAAGAGACTTTTAAAAAGTATTTCCTTCGATTTCAACTACTTTTACGAAAGAACTGTTTAATAGACATTTTGAGAAAAATTCAGGATTTTTATACTTTTAATTTATTTATTATTATTATTCCATATAAAATTTAGTTATATGTTTATTTAAAAATCATCGTAAAATTATATAATTCTTTATCATACTTCTGGCTTCACTAAGGTACTAATGCTTTGCTCGCCCGGCCTCTCGTTTTGAAGGGGGGGGGAAGATGTAAAAAATATTTAAAAAATATGATGGCTTTGTTCTACGCGAACACGCAACCTTTAATTAACTTTCTGCAATTCAGGATAGTCCCCCTAGATCAGTACCTTCTAGAATTTGCTAGCCTATTACGGAACCGCTACCATGAAGACTGAGTACCTGCCATTTTTCAGTCAGACTGCTTCCTAATATCGCTGCTACAAGACTCTGCGCTGCTCTGTCCATCTTTTCTTCCTATGTTAGAATTAGTTATGATGCATAAAGTTTAAATTCAATCACACTTAGTTAAAAACCACTATGGAGATGTAATTTAAAGAGTGTCATCTAAAAGGAAAATGATCTGCTAATTGGAGTAAAAAAAATGAGCAAAGCTAAATCAATTTGTGTCGTTTTTGGATATCATCCTTACCACGCTGCAAAAAGCCATACCTGAACATTGATGCCGAGCTTCAGATCTGCCAAAATATCACATGCACATACATACAAATACACGTTCATATGTTTATGAATCTGGTACTGATAACAAAACAGTACCAAGAAGACGTTTACTCTTTTATATTGCAGCTTTAATATAGAGCTGCTCGATAACTGGAATCCGAGGCTATCTTACCGCTCTTCAACCATCATCAAATTTTAGAAAGCCCTTTTATATACTTAAATTACTCGGAATTGAAGTACCTTTAACACACAAGTATCTATGATTGAACTGGCATTTGAATAGATCACTGACATGCTTCTGTTACCAGCTGGAGCTCTCAGATGAGCTATTTATTCATTAGATCACTTTTATCGTTGGAAAAAGATATGTCATCAAAAAAGATATGTAAACAATTTGAAGGCAGAAAAGCATTCCCCGAGAATTCAGTCACTTTAGAGCAAATTACACACTAAACGACTTTCAAGTGAAACCTTCAATACATCTTTTGAACAAATGAAACTATATGCCACTGATAATAAGAATTATAAAAGGTTTTTATGAAGGCGGCCGTATGCAAGTGTATTGGTTGACTGATTGCTTACCACACAATAGCAGCTGATCAAAGAGAGTTTGATTTATTATACGCATAATACGCCTGGGACTTTATACCTCCTACATTATCTGTGAAGAGAGTGTTTTAAAACAATAAAGGTTTGATTTATGTGATTACAGCAAAACATCGAGGGCGATTTGCCTAAGGGGAGGGATGTCTTCGTAGAAGACTTTCTAAGAGAAAAGGCTCGTATACACTTTATTTCATTATGAACAATAGAATAACTAAAAAAAAAAAAAAAAAAAAAAAAAAAAAAAAAAAAAGAAGAAGTCATGTTCTACCTTATATGTATACATTCCAGTCTTGACAAGGAATGAGACAGACTAACTTGCCAGTTTCTTTAACGAGCTCAGCAATATGTGAAATTCATAAAAAATAACCGTAAACGAAACTAACGGTTTCACATCAGATGATCGTTACATTTCATTTCCAAATATCTTTGCTTAGCCTTCCGATGTTACTTCAATGGGCCTTCATGCGTTAGGGTTTGTTATAATAAACTTCAGGAATTTGCATCGCTTTCTGTATTCAGTTTATGAACTCTGGAAAGCTTGTTATGATGAAGTAAGGACAATACAAGTTCCAGTTCAAATTAAAGGAAAATTGCAAAGAATTACTATAGTCGACAATGTGGCGCTTTCTGGACAAGTTTAGTTTTTATGCGTCTCAATACATTAGAATAATTACATTTAAATTAACTTCAGTACTTCATTTCAAAAATAAACTTCAATGTTAAAAACAGTATATATAATTTTATAATAAATTAATGTCATTAATTCTTCTTTTAATTCCATTTCATTGCTTATAATCCAGAAGTCCTTCGATACTTCGTGGTGAAATTCACAGTTGAAAGCTAACAATCATAATTTCTAAATTTCAGTAACGCCTGTTCTAAAGAGAAGTGCATGTCAATGCTTATGTAATGGTATTTGAAATTTTTATACGATAATCTCTCACTTGAAAACATGTTTTAAGTAACTAGTACTATAAACTTGAATAATCAAGAATGAAGGCCAATTGTCAAGTTTTAGGTAGCGTTTTGTGCCACCCAGCCTGGAAAGTGGTTAATGATTCTGACTGCCGTACCGAGAGGCCCGGGTTCGAATTCGGAAAAGGCAAGAATGTATATTGCCTATCTCTTCATAGAAGGCAACGGTGGGCTACCTAATAGGTGCTTTCATAATAAAGTGACCATCGCTGCCGGCCCTAGTAGTAGTCACCTGTAATGGTTAATGCTCGACATTGGGGGTGGGAATTATGGTTTTGGATATGATTTACAGCTGCTCATTATGCATAAGTTTCAGATTTTAGCAGGTGCATTATCCCCATTATTGTAATTCTTATCACTGGACGTAAAATTTAACTTGTTAAGAATAAACATATTAGGACAGTGTCATTGACTTAAAATCAAATACAGAAAACATAAGAAAACTAAGATTTACGGCAGGTATGCAAAAAACAATGTAAGAGCTGAAATAAAAGTTTCTAATATGAGCTTCATCATGCATACATAAATTAAAAATAAACAGAAAGTTATGAAAATGAAAGAAGCTTGAGAAAATCCATTGAAAACAAAAACTTTTAATAGATAGGGACTAAAAGTGCAACATAATATTTAAAAAATAAGGCTAAAATGTATGAAAGGTTAAATATGAAGTATAGGCAACACAAATGGAAATTAATTAATTAATAATAATAAGTTATTTAAAGTGAGCTACAAAATTTATCCTAACGCAGTTACATTCTATCATATTTTCTCAATATTTTAGCTCTACTTTCAATTTTTTTTTGGCATCTATGCACTATTTTTAAAAGTTTAGCCTTATTTAACATTACTTTTATTCAACATTTTGTTTAAAATTTCTAACTGAACCACGATTAAAAAAACTTCTGGAAAACTCTGAATTTATAACTTAGTGGGCAAAATTTCGATGAAATTTAAAGTCTAGCTATCGCTTTTATAAATTGTTGTTCATTTAAAATTTACAAGAAATTACCTAAAGTATGTCATATTCAGAACTTTATTGTCTGATTTTTGTTGTTGACTGGAAGATGAAATCTACGTGCTTTTAGGATACAGAAATTTTCCAGTTTATAATGAATATGGGAAATGCAGTTATTAAATAAAGGAATGTATGTAAAAATTTTACACAAGCATCTTTTGTTTAACAACTGCGCAAACAATAAAACTGAAAAACAAAATTTTATAACACGGCGAGCAAAATGCAGCTGTTTAAGCGATAATATATATTATATTATTAATGTTTTCAATATTCAGCAATATTATTATTAATATCCTCAATATATTCAATAATTTTCATCTTATATATTCAGCAATATTATTAATATCTTCAATGTATCGTGTTATATTAATACAGAAAACAGAAAAGTTTGCAAAAATTAAACACTGCAGAATCATGGCCTTGTATAGTTTACTACTATTCTCATTGTCTTGTATTATATAGTAAAAAATTAAAATTACTTCCCTGAAATGTTTTTGTGGCAGTCAGTATATAAGGTATTTCTCCCAGTTTTCTAGTGTGCCTTCGTGGTGTAACGGTAGCACGCTGGGCCGGTATTCCAGAGGTCAGTGGTTCGATTCCCGGCGAAGGCGTTTGCATTCAAACTATCAGTTTAGCCGTTTGAAGACCTGGATTCGATTAACGGCGAAAGCACAGTTAATTGTTTTTCAAAAATCCTTCAGTCCCTAATTCCTAATACTTCGAAAAGATATAAAATGTTAAGTATTTAAAAAATGATGTAGGACTATAAAACTATTAAATTACTTAATAAGGATCGTTCTCAGCATTTTTCCTCAAGTAAATTAATGTAACTGTGCATTAACTTGAAATAGCTTTCATTAAAAGACATAAATTATTCAACGAAAATTTCTTTTATCTTTACATGAAGTATAGATACATATAGAAAAAGCAAATAACATGATAAAAGACAACTAAACATGTTCTGCATCGGGAGTAAAAATAAAAGCAACAGAGAATCTTGCAAGCGTTAAAGTGCCGGTTAATGGAAAAGTTTTCTAAAAATGGCAGAAGAAAAGTAATCTATGTCTTCTTTTTAAGGATCAAGGCAAGAATTCCCTCTTGTCTGTATGATACTTTAAGGTGTTACTATCTTTCATCAAATCAAGCGACTGAAAATGATGCATAGTGCTCTACGTCATCCCTGACGTCACGAGTTACCAAAAAACTGCTATCGCAGAGAGCGGGACATTAGATTCCGGAGATGGAGTGCAGAGTGACGACGCTTTTGTATGTCTTCGTCATTGTCTTCCGTTGCGCCCACTCAGGTCAGTGTTTGTTTTGATCTTGACAACAAAAGCTGACGACAAGTGGTTATTGGAGCGGTAATTGCAACTCCAAATTATTGTATTTTTATGAAATCAGAAATGGTGAATTTTGATATTTACGCTTTTATAATACCATACATATTAATTAATTAGTAGAGAATATACTATTATTCATAAAGATGAATATTGGGGCATTCTAAAATTTTTGTTTTCTATAATGCATAACGGCTCAAATTTTTAAAGTGTCATTCTTCAGTGTCCTTTATTTGAAGGAGGGAACTTTTTTTAACCAATGGAGAGAAGTTTGACTTACAGAAGCGTATAGTTGAACTTTTCCATTTTTCGCGCTGTGGAAAGTTTGTTACGTTGCATTACGTTAAGCTATTAACGCACTGATCATTTACGCGCCCTGGCAAGTGTTATCTTTTCACGGGGCATAACCTTTCATTTATAATATTCGCAGCATGGAATATTTTCTGTTTCTAGAAAGGCTGACATTTGACACTGTATAAGGTTTTAAATTTTTCTTTCAAATTGAAAGAGGCCTTTTTAAACTAGTGAATGGTTTAAAAAGAATAAATAGGTATAACTCAACAGCTTTATAAGCTGTTGAGTTATACCTATTTTATTTTCAGTAATATTTTTAACTCTATTTTATTTTCAATAATATTTTTAATTGTTGAAATTTACATATGATTTATAATATATACCGAATTAATAATTTTTTGTTAATATTTTTACCATTACAGTGATTAATAAAAGATATTTTTAATCTAAAGTATCATGTATCTGGGAGAATAATTATTTAAAGGAAGTCTAATTAACGAGTTTTTGAATTGCAAACATATGTAAATATTCCATTATTTTTCATGATACTTGTTAATTAAATATCCCGCTTTTCAAATTTGTTTTCTCAGACTAAGTAATTAAAAGTAAGTTCCCAAATCAACGGCATTTTATAACCTAAGCATTTGTTAGCCTAAACTAAGCAAATTTTAATAACGAATTGAATATTTATTAGATCTAACTTTTCAGTTTAATAGTAATAATTTTTTAATTTTTTTTTCTTTCGTAATAACTTCTTTCGATTATCGGTGCTTAATTATGAGTTTGTATTGTTGAAAGGTCAATATCTTTGACACAGAATAAAAATTAATTCGGATTTTCTTTCTATACGTTGACTCTTCATTGGCCTGCGTGCATTCATATGTAGGTCTAATTAACTTTCTCGAGTGATGCACAGTATTCATGAAAAGTACTTAGACATATATTAGACTATGGTATATTCTTAAACAAACCAAATAATGCGAATTATCATGAGACATTTTCAAGAACAGTAAAAAGATTTTGTTCTTTTCCTGAAGTATTAGATGTTTATGTGACAATATTCCTATTGGGAACAATAATTAAAATTCTTTAAGATTAATTAAAATTCTAATGTTCTTCAAGTTTTATAAATAATTGAATTTATTTTACTTACTATTTGAATAAAATTTTCAAAATAATTTCTTTGTTTGAGCAGAAAACTAATCTGTTATCAATTATTATTTATTCTTAACAGACATTTCGGGCGCTTTTTGATATTAAAGCAATTGAAATTCAAAAATATTTGAATTAAAAATTTTAAATAATTATCTATGTCAGTCTAGAGGTTAGGCTTATAAGTGTACATTCTAAATAAAAACTTAAAGTATGAGTGAATAGACTTGAGTATTTCCAAATGGTAAAGTGCCAAAGACAGATATGCAACAGTATTTAATTGTTTATAATAATTACATTTTTCTTCTAAGTAGATGAAGATAGAATAAAAATTAAACAAATGAATAAGTAAAATAAAAATTAAAATTCTTCCTGCAAATTGCAAAAAAAAAAAAAAAAATGACAAGGATTCGTTATTATGTGGATAGCTTACGTTTCTCTTCTGGTTACTCATTGCGATAGGTGCTGGCGAAATCAAAAGAATGTAGTGAATTGTTATCACAATGAAGCACATAAGCGAATGTGTGAATATTACTGATTATAAACTACTAATTTTGTATTTCGAAGGGCATTCTACTGCAAATAGTAGTGGGAAAGAGCGTTCTAATTTCCAAATTTCTATTTCTATAAAGAGTATTTTTCTGTTATTTTTAGCCCAAAGAGGCATTAGTATTTTTCATTAAAACACTCGACAATTTGAAAGCAAGCAATGGCAACACTGTACAGACTGGTAGACTGCGAGCTCAGCGAGAACGTAAAAAACAGGGCGGCTGTTAAAATCTGAAACCTTTCAGACTTTATTTAACTGCTTTCGATTTTTTTTAATATTCAATCTTTTGTTGATGAAAGCATGTCTTTGGTTGGAATCGTTTTGCTACATAAACTAACTAACTTGCTTAACTAACCGGCATCCAACTTATTCCGCCTTTTGAAGATTTAGGAATAAATTATCATAACCCTACTAGTTAATATATTTAAATTGAGTATTTAACGCCTGCTTTTTTAAGACAGTAATTAATATATTCATCTGGTACCAAATTGTTTAAGAGTTTGAATAAATATTAATATCTCGTTTTGAATATCTAGTGTATCGTTACAAATATTTTTGATTCAATGTATTTGACTAATGACTGTGTTAATAATTACTTTTATGGAAATGCTTGAAGTCCAATTAATCAATTTATTAGTTGCAAATTTAAATTTCTTGGTTTTGTCGTAGAGTTTTATTTGTGTGTAGTTAATTACTATTTGAAGTTTTAAAAATTCGATAACGTTTTTTGAAGAATTAATTTTATTAAGAATGAGGCTTTCGGAATACATTTAGGAATTTTCTATTTTATTAAATTTATTAAAAGAGATGCGATTATCAATGTATCTGAAAGTGCGTTCATAATAAATCAAATCTTCTTAATAAATCAATAATAAATCATAATAAATCAATCAAAGAGATTAGAAATACTCGTAGGTATATGAGCTCCCAGTGATATACCTGTACTAGTATACTGGTAGATGCATGAGCTCCCATTGGTTTACATGGTTTTGGTTTATTTCGAAAGCCTCCTTCTTAATTCGTGTTTAACATTTTAAAATAAACTTAAAAACATGAAACTAAATGTTATTATTGCGATACCGGAACAAAAATCTCAAAAATTTTTAAAACCTTTTACAGGAATACGATATTAGGAAATTTTTAAAAAATGTACAAAAACATAGTTTATCTTTGCTAGTTATTAGTTTCATACAAAAAATGCGTACACTGTAAAATTATAATAAAAATTATGAATAAATATAAAATAAAGGAATGATTGTTATAATCAAATATTATCAAGAGCAGTAAAATAATGAATTATAGCATTAAAAACAAAAAATATAATACAAAAAATCTGATGCGGACACCACATAACTTCCTTGTACGGCCTGTTAAATTACACTCATTTTTTGCTGAACTTCATTTAAATTTATTTCCTCGAATTTCATTAGAGATATATTTCTAACTCAATCAGTTCACTTCTCACTTCGCGGTGAGAAATGCATAAAAACTCAAACTTCATTAAAAACTATAAAATACAGAAAAAGCCAAAACACTAAATACAGTTAAAAACAGTTAAAAAACAGTTTTTCACAACTCAAATTAGGGTTTCTATGCAAAAATTAGCAATTCGGAAAGCGGGTAAGAAAAAAAATTCGGTGCACAAAATTGAAAGTCAATTTTCGGTCATATTTGACAAAAAGACCCTTAATTTGGTGTACCAACTGACTTAATTCACTATTTTACTAAAAGTTTCAAATGTAAACAAATGGCGGCTTTGTTAGGATTAGCCATTTAAATTTTGAAATTGTTGATAATTCTGCAATTATTGCATGCAGATTAACTAAAAGCATAAAAACCTTAACTGTTATAAGAACTGTTATATTAATGTTATAATAACAACATAATGCAATCACTTTGAATGCTAAAAATGCACAATTTAACAACATATAAGAATAAAAATCTGAGCTCACCAAGCTGGGTAACAGAGTGGGTGTAAATATAAGTATACATATGTATATATATATATAATATATAAAGCAAAGTAGTAATTATAATTTTTAAAAAACCAATTTTGGTCTAGAAAACATCTTGCGCAATATGCTGCAAAATAAGTAAAATATAAAAATTGTAGTAAGCTCGCCTAAAAGTTACCAAGAGCTGCTGCTCCAAAAGGTTCAACAGGTTTTAAAAAAAAATCAATACATATGAAAATCAAACCATTAGACATGTAAAACATTAAAAAAAAAAGAAAAAGAAAAGAAAAGAAGAAAAAAAAAAAAAGATAAAAAGTAAGCGGAAAATGGTAAATTAGCCCAGTTCGACTTCCAAACTGGCTTTTCAAGGGAAATTTCATTTACTTGAACGTCGAATCAAGCTAACCCCATTACGCGTTTCGCCGAAACAGACAATTGAAACTTTTTCGCTAAAAAATTTTTAAAATTTAGACAAACTGTCTTGGAAATTTTAATAGTCTCAATTCTCTGTTCCAATTTCCCGACGCGTCCGCACAGAATGACACATTAAGGTGTTAAAATATGTTAAACAACACCTAAACTTCCTAAATCTAGACTAAAATCAAAATTAAAACCAAAATAAAAACGAAAATAAGTAGCGATGAGCTATTAGTCTTAAAAATACAAAAACATACGGGCTGGGCCTGCAAGCTTAAAGATTAACAATTTAATTTTTAAATTATAGATTTTAGAAATCTGTAATGAAAACATGTAATTAAAACAAAAATTAAGATGATAACAAACTAAGTGGGTCTTGCTAAGACCAAGAAAAAGTTGTTATATACCTAGCTACCTAGCTTACCTATATTACTACCTAGGTTTTTAATTACATATATATATATAAAATATATATATGTGTGTGTGTGTGTGTGTTTGGTGCTGCCGATTGCAACAGAAAAGAGAAATGCACAATTACATATTATAACAGTCTCGTATACAAAATTTCAACATTCTACGGCTACTCGTTTTTGAGTTAT